GTTAAAACTTACAAAATATGTGCTTTATCTACATTAATTGGTAGTATTTTTTTTTCATGTTTGACCAAACCACTGACATAGCCATTGTTATATTTCTTTAAAATTGTCATATTTCTCTTGTTGCAAAAAAGTAATATCTGCATTGCTTGTACTTCTATCTGTTTGTATTTCTATCTGTTGTTATTGCATTGAAAAAATAATAATAAACTTTTTACAGGTATAGCGACTTCAATAGCGCTATCAATGAGCTTTACAAAAGTATACAGCTGACAACAGATAAAAAAAAACTCGTGCATAAAAACTAGTGCAAAAAACAAATCCAATATAATTAACGAAACTTAAATATCTAAAAACAAAACAAAAAAATCTTAAATCACAATCAAATTAACTGACCTTAAAAACACTGCGTGTGACTGAACAGTAAAAAGACGTCAGAATACATAATCAAATCTCTTCCTCATATTATGCGTTTCATCGTTCCTCATATTATGCGTTTCATCGAAGTCAATCGTTTGTAATTTATGTGATGAAACATGGGTGACCCCTGCTGGCTTACATTGCGTATTTCATTTTGAGATCATGTAGCCAATGGAGAAAGCTATAACGTGTTGCTGAGAGACAAACCTTTAAAAAGATGTAGCCATATGTGTTTAAGTAAATGTCATGTTGTACTAAAACAATAATGAGAACTCCATTAGATGAGGAGTGTTACATGTCTGTTTACTGTCACTGAACTGTTTAATACAGTTGAAGTAAAAATTATTAGCCCCCCTGTTTTTTTATTATTTTCCCCTAATTTCTGTTTCACGGAGGTTTTTTTAGCACATTTCTAAACATAATAGTTTTAATAATTCATCTGTAATAACTGATTTATATTATCATTGTCATGATGACAGTGAATAATATTTAACTAGATATTTTTCATGACACTTCTATACAGCTTAAAGTGACATGCAAAGGCTTAACTAGGTTAATTAGATTAACTACGCAGGATAGGGTAATTAGGCAAGTTATTTTTTAACAATGGTTTAAATATAGCTTTAAAAATAAATATAGCTTAAATGGGCTAATAATTCTGACCTTTAAATGTTTTTTTTTTTTTTTTTTTAAACTGCTTTTATTCTAACCAAAATAAAAACAAATATCTCAAATTCTCCAGAAGAAATACTCTTATCAGACATACTGTGAAAATGTCCTTGCTTTGTTAAACATAATTTGTGAAATATTCAAAATAAATAAATAAATAAATAAATCAAAGTGGGCTAATAATTCTGACTTCAAGTGTATGTGAAATAAAACATTCATTAAATTGTTTAAGAAAATGAACACAGCTGTCTCAAGTAAAGTGTTGCTTGCATGCAAAGGCTATATGCTGCTAGCCTACTTCAAGAGCAGTTGGGAGATTTCTTGTCCTTGTATGAGAAAGTGTATTTTTGTTTTGAAGTAAAAAGAAATATTTCTTGTGATTCAAAATGTCATCAGCATTTCATTAGCAGATAGGAAAGGTGTTACCAGGTGTGAACGTTGCTCAGCTGGAATGCAAACAAAAGCTGTTTCTGCCTCTTTAGGCAATTCAATCATCAAAAGTAACTGTAAAGTTCTTTAAAAACAGGGCAACACTTCTTATATAAAACTTTAGTAAACCTACAACCTTTGGTAAACTTTCTGAAAATTGAGCATTTTTATAAAATATAGTCAGAAAAAGAGGAAATATCTGGTAAGTGCATGGAAGTTCTGTGGGTGCAAATTTTTTGTTGATTGCAAAGGTCAGAAGAGAATGGCAAGACTGGTTCCAGCTGATAGAAAGGCAACAGTAACTCAAATATCCACTCATTACAACTGGCTTATGCAGAAGAGCATCTCTGAATGCACTACACGTCTAACTTTGAGGCGGATGGGATACAGCAGCAGAAGACCACACCTAGTGCCACTGCTGTTAGCTAAGAACAGGAAACTCAGGCTACAATTCACACAGGCTCACCAAAATTTGACAGTGGAAGTTTGGAAAAAACGTTGCCTGGTCTGATGATTCTTCTAATGGCTACTACCAGCATGACAACGCACCATGTCATAAAGCGCGAATCATCTCAGACTGGTCTCTTGAACATGACAGTGAGTTTACTGTACTCAAATGGCCTCCGGGATGTGGTGGAACGGGACAAAACTGCAGCAAACTGCGTAATGCTATCATGTCAATATGGACCACAATCTCTGAGAAATATTTCCAGTACCTTGTTAAATCTATGCCATGAAGGATTAGGGCAGTTCTGATGGCAAAAGGAAGTCCAACCCGGTACTAGTAAGGTGTACCTAATAAAGTGGCCAGCGAATCTATCTATCTATCTATCTATCTATCTATCTATCTATCTATCTATCTATCTATCTATCTATCTATCTATCTATCTATCATCTATCTATCTATCTATCTATCTATCTATCTATCTATCTATCTATCTATCTATCTATCTATCTATCTATCTATCTATCTATCATCTATCTATCTATCTATCTATCTATCCATTCATCCATCCATCCATCCAGGCACGTGCACACATAGGCCTCAACCTGTGCAGTGCACATGCCTTTTTTAGTCTTGGATAGAAAGTGCCCTTCCAAAATGATCAAAAGTGCCCCCACAACGCGACACACACTCTGTCCCGCCCTTCAGTAGGCGCGCAACAACACCCAACAACATCTATCTATCTATCTATCTATCTATCTATCTATCTATCTATCTATCTATCTATCTATCTATCTATCTATCTATCTATCTATCTATCTATCTATCTATCTATCTATCTATCTATCTATCTATCTATCTATCTATCTATCTATCTATCTATCTATCTATCTATCTCGTTTCTAGAATGGAACGAACCGCTAATTACTCTGGCATTTCCAGTTGCAACCCAACATTGGGAAACACACATAACACATATACTTTTATAATTTAAATACACATTCATACACTATAGTCAATTTTGTTTACCCTATTCACCTGCATGTTTTGTACTATGGGGGAAACTGGAGCACCCAGAGGAAACCCACACGAACATGCAAACTCCACACAGAAATGCCAACTGGCCCAGCCGAAACTCAAACCAGCGACTTCCATGCTGAGAGGGAACAGTGCTAACTGACCCATGTGTATGTATGTATGCATGTACAGTTGAAGTCAGAATTATTAGCGCCCCTGTATGTTTCCCCAATTTCTATTTAAAGGAGAGAAGATTTTTTTTCAACACATTTCTAAACATAATAGTCTAATAACTGATTTATTTTGAAGACAGTAAATAATATTTGATTAGATATTTTTCAAGACACTTCTATACAGCTTAAATTGACATTTAAAGGCTTAAATTAGGGTAACTAGGCAGGTTAGGGTAATTAAGCAAGTTATTGTATAATGATGGTTTATTCTTTAGACCAGGGGTCACCAAACTTGTTCCTGCCGGGTTCCTGTAGATTTTAACTCCAACCCTAATCAAACACACCTGAACAAGCTAATCAAGCTTTTACAAGGTATACTTGAAAACACCCAGGCAGGTGTATTGAGGCAAGTTGGAGCTAAACACTGCAGGGACACCAGCCTTCCAGGACTGAGGTTGGTAACCCCTGCTGTAGACCATCAAAAAAAAAAAAAAAAAATACATAGCTTAAAGGGGCTAATAATAATTATTACTTTTTTTTTTTGTAAAAACTGCTTTTATTCTAGCCAAAAAAAAAAAAAATACTTTTTTCAGACGAAAAAAAAATATTATCAGACATACTGTGAAAATTGTCTTGCTCTTTTAAACATCATTTGGGAAATAAAAAAAAAAAGAAAAAAATTCATAGGGGGCTTATAATTCTGACTTGTAAATGTGTATATATGTATGTATGCATGTATGTATGTACAGTATACTGCATTTGAGTAACTATTAGTTAACATTCTTATGAAAACATTATATTTTTCCAGCTTAACAAAGAAAATCCTATCTTGGATGTACGTAAATGAAATTTTCACTATGTGCACAAAAATTGAGATTGATTATAAATATGAACTATTTTCGTTTCTATCACTAAATAAAACAAACTAATCTATAAGTTGGGAAAACCCTGCAATGCTTTTCTGAAACATAAACATATATTTCCTTAGATAAAGATATAAATCATGTCCTGGGGTAAATTAAAGCTTCACTGTGTGGTCAAATTACAATCAGCCAACAAAAACTAAAGAAATTGTAAAAATATAATAAAAGAAACAAGGCGAAGCGGTGGTGCAGTGGGTAGTATGTTCGCCTCACAGCAAGAAGGTCACTGGTTCGATCCTCATCTGGGTCAGTTGGCGTTTCTGTGTGGAGTTTGCATGTTCTCCCTGTGTTCGCCTAGGTTTCCTCCGGGTGCTTTGGTTTCCCCCAAAGACATGTGGTATAGGTGAAATTGACCATAGTGTATGAGTGTGTGTATGGGTGTTTCCCAGTGATGGGTTGCGGCTGGAAGGGCATCTTCTGCGTAAAACATGCTGAAGTTGGTGGTTCATTCTGCTTTGGTGACCCCAGATTATTAAAAGTACTAAGTGGGGGAAAAAATGAATGAATGAATGAATGAAACAAACAAACAAACAAGTTGGAAGCCTACTATGTACATCAAAAAGGACCCACTTAGACTTTATCTTCTCTAACACTGCCATCTGGTGTTTAATCGTGAACCTTTTTTCTAGACGTATTAAATTAAAACTGATCATCTTATGATCTAAAAATGCATCTGTGTTGACTGTGACCTCCAAATCCCCAGATAAACTCCTGGAAAAAAAGATAAATTAAGCCGACATCACTCTTATCCGAGAAATGCTATTAATGGGTCCCTATCCAAAAGTATTAGCCAACAAATTCCTCGATTTAGAAGTCAAAAATCTGCAGTATTATTTTAATACCCTTTTTCCCCATTTAATTATCCACATAATGTGTCTCAAAAATATATTTAATATTCATCATCAACCGGAAGTCCACGAGCCCTTTCTCGGCCCCTCCTTTCTCTTCCGCTCAGATGTCCTTGTAGCTATGGAAACTCATCAGCGGCAGCATCCTCCAGATCGTCCACCCGCTTCTTCGTCTGGACAGCTAAGCTAAACCTGCATGTGAAACAGCGGCTCAAAATGGCGTTCGGCCGTCAAACGCTTTCCCTGGTGCTCTTCTGCTGGCTGTGTGAGTAGTGTTTCTCAAATCGCTATGGAGAAGCGAGGGGTTCTGGTGGTCGTGTGATGGCATTCTCGCGCTGACCCCTGCTGCTACTGCTTTACTACCGTTAGCCATTAAACGCCACACTTAGGTTTAGTGTAAACACTGTTTCAACGTAAGGTGAATGTTGTTTGTGGATAGGACTCTCCTTTTTATATCGTATTGCTTGTGGAATCCAATGGCTGTGTCTTAAAGCACGGCGTCCGCCTGCTTTGACAGCATTTCTGGGCGCGTTCGTTCGAATATGAATGTGTCCGAGGATTCTGTTCAGGGAGGGAAATGCTGTTCAATATCTGATCTTAGGTGTTGAAAGAGCTGTTTTTATCAGTATGTTCAATTCTCAGTATGCTTATGCATGTGTGTAGATTATTTAGGCTATTTTTAATCGGGTTAGCCTCGTGAGAATGAAGCACACTTTTAAAAATAGCCTACCTGTTACAGAAAATGTGTAGTAAATGTGAGCTGAATTGTGTTTTTGACACTCAATCGGATATTATTTGCAATTAAATCATAAACTAAATTGTTTCTCAATGCTGTAAATAAATAGTACGATACTAAATAATAGTATATATAATAATATAAAAGTATAGACTATATAAATATTATATTTTTGCCTTTCTGCTTTGAAAATGTATAGTGGGTGAGTTTTGTTACTTGCTATTTCTTTGTAAAGAATTGTGAATTTTATAAGCAATTTTTCAGTAAAATTTGTTTCTGCATTATTAATTTTGTATACTATTAAATAAATGTTTATTATATATATTTTTATTTCTGCATAAGTATGTCCAGCAAACACTCTTATTTTCATCTGTAGTTGCATTTATACTATTTTTCCTGAGAATTACAAAATTTTGTACCACCTCAAAAACCAGGCAGGTCACGGCTACTGACAGAGCCCAAGTGATGCTCATGCATGCATGTATTTAATTACATTTAATAAATAAGATTTTGTTAAGATTACAAGAATAATGCAGAATGTTTTTGTTTCAAGTAGCACAAATGTCATGATCTGGATAACACCAACCGCATTTTAAGCCAGAAAATCATCACACCAATAGATAAAAATACTAGTAGTGTTTATTAGGCATGGGCCAGTATAAGATTCTGACAGTATGAAAACCTTGGGTAAAAATATTATGGTTTTACGGAATTGTAATTACTGCTCTAAATATATTCTTTTTAAATGTCTGGGTTATAACAAAAACGTTTTCCTCTTTGAACAGTGTATTTTATCTTGAGAGACATTTAATATATTTTGGAACAGTAAACATGTCAGGGTAAATAATTCAGCTTCTGCTGTCTTTATTAGTTTCAAAAACACAGATTTTTTTTACAATTTAAAATGCCGTCTTTGGATATCTTTATTGCTGGAGATACTTTTTTCCTACAAAAAAAAGTAAATAAAAAAATCTAACATATACCTTAGGAATGGAAAATTTTGGTGGTTTTAAAACCTTGACATTTTTTAAACCACGGTATATTTTGAAAATGGTTATTGTCCCATGCCTAGTATTTAAATAAACTGTAAAACCCAACAGTACACTTTATCAAATGAAATGAGTATTGTTAACTCAAAATTGACAAAGTTAATACATTTAAAAATAGTTTTGACCTCAGTGTTAAAGGTAATGAGTTAATGAAATATACCGCATTACTTCAACCTAAATGGAGTAAGTTTACAGTACTCATATAGAGTTTTGAACTTAAATGGTTTGTAGCGATTGGTTTTCTCAAACGATTTGAGTTGCCTTAACTGGTTTTTCAGGACTCAGTTGGTTTGAATTCTCTTCATTTATCGGGTTTTACTGTGCTCAAATTGCTTCATTAACTCAAATGGATTAAGTTCACAGTACTCATTAGGATTAGTTTTTCAACTTAAATGATTTGTTGCAATGGGTTTCCTCAAATAGTCTAAGTTACCTTAATTTTTTGGGTTTTACAGTGTAATTAAAATTGGAGTTAATCTATATTCAGCACAAGTAAGGGTAGCAAATGAACTGTTTTGTTGATTCATTCATTGTTGAATAATTTCTATCTAGTATGTTTTTGAGCTGAGCTATTGCTGGATTACACGCATACAGGTCTTTTTCATGCTCATCTTAACACAATGTATCTTTGTGTAAGATGTGTGAAGTGTGAAGAGGTGTGAGTTCTCAAAGCCGCCACTGTTGGCCGAAGTGTCCTGAATACCAAACTGCTTTAAAAGGGACTCAACTTCAGCCTAATTTTAGGTCTTTTATTTCTTTTTTTGAGTTAGTCAGATCTGTGGAAAAGAGTTTTTCTTTTTGTAAACAGTCATGTGATAAAGAATGTCTTAAGTCAAAGATCACACCACCACCCCCTTCTCTCCCACTCGTTCTGTTTTCCTGCTCTTTTTAGGTCACTTCTTTTGTAAAGTCTGGAATCGCACTTTTAGTTGGCCTCTGTGTCGTTGGAATTGTTACAACAATCAGCTATTGTCTTGTAGGAGTAATTAAACACAAAATATGCTGTCAAAACAACTCTCATAATGAACACAAATATTAAGAGTGTGTGTGCATGGGGGTTGTATTGTTATAGTGTTTACAGAGAAAACAGAAATGTAATGATTTTGAATGGATGGTTTTTGTGTTACAATAACAATATGTGTGTATGTGTTCGTGTATGTGTGTGTAAAATAAAATTTCAGACAATTGCAGTGTTCACTGTAGAAAATTACATGAAAAAAATTAGTTGAATAAAAGACAATTTAAGCTTTTCATGTCAAAATGATTCTTAACTTGCAAACTAGAAAGAGGGCTTTAACATATTGTGACGTAAAATATTTTTGTTATGAAATTAACTTAAAATAAATAAAAACACAATCAAAAATTAAACTAAATTAATTAAAAAATGGGAATAAATAAAACACTTTTGCAAAAGAAAATTCATGTTTTTTTTTTTCCTGAAAATTTTTTTGTTTGTATGTTTAGTAATTAAAGTGAGATTCCGGACTCTAAATTAAAACTAAATCTTTAAGATCAGTAAATAAACATAAATTACAGATTTTGCAGTAGAAACACAGAATTATTTACCCAAACATAAAAAGTTTATATAATTATCTAATAAATTATGTAAAAAATCAGACGATCAATCATTAAGTGAAATCAAAACATAATTAATCTTTAATTTATTAGTCACACTTTATTTTAAAGTGTCATTGTTACATTGTATATATTAATTTAAATACTTATTTATTTTAAAAACTTAAATATTAATTAATAATCACATGTACTCAGTGTGGAAATTACAGTGGGGTTTGGGGAGGATGGAACCTCTCTAATTAATGCTTGATTCCCCCTGAAGGACATCAAAACAGGATGTATGGGGGGTCAGCTGTTTAATAGTAATAAATAGATTTCTTTTTGTGAATGCATAATCATGCCAACCAATGTTAGGAAAAATGTAATTCAACAGTCTGAAACTGGCAGTTCTAGAGCACCGAAAGACATCTTATGTATTCACAAAACATGTTTCTTGTAAAATAGGAGTTAAAATCTGCGTGTAGCTTAAAAAAAGAAAAATTAGACAGATAATTTGTATAGTTTGACCTACAGACCTTTAAAATTGTCCCTAAATATTCCTCAAAACACTAAATACTTATACATTTTATGAATAAATTATATGTAATTTATATACATTCAGAAATTTGATTCACTGTAGTATGTATTACCAAACCACTACCGAAAAAGTTAACCCCCTGATAGTCAATGTATAATTTCCACCCTGCATGTCACTGTATGGTTGGGGTTATAATGTGGGATAGATTTTGTGTTAAATGCATGTAAATTAACTGTAATTGCCATTGTAAGCACATGGAACATGTAGCAAGGGCACCTTAAAATAAAATAAATAGTGTTACCCATTTTTTCTGCAAAATTTTCTATCATGACTTAAGCTTTTCCTAGTTGGTAACACTTTACAATAAGGTTGTAACTACTTTAATGCATTTACTAACATGACATTTTTTTGTTTAGTGTAAATAGGACCTTTCTGACATTGACACAGCATTGCATGCAGTGACCGCATGCGTCTCAGCGGTGGATAATGTAGCTTGTCTAATCGGGAAATGTCAACAGCAGATGTAAAAATAGATCATGATGCATGCATGCGATGGGAAAATCAGCCTTGGAAAACGTCACCGGAAACCTTGAAGTTCTCCAGCTGTGGCAATATGACTCTTTGCTCCCCCGAAGAGCCTCTTCACTGTGTTTAAAATTGGCAGAATGTGCTGCATGTAGCTCTTCCTCATGCTAAAAGTCTAGGTGACGATAAAGTCACCACAGATGTTTGGCTTTTGATAACTGAAGTCCGTCTCATGCTTTGTAGAACTCCATATGGTAAGATTTTAATCTGATGCTTAAGCCACAGATTATCACATATGGATCACTGTAAATACACTCTGTGGATTTCGTGAGATTATGCGAAAGTGGAAAATGCATCTGGAAATAGCAAATGTCCTAAAACCCAAATTATTTTCTCATATGAAAGAGGTCTATCGGGACTGTCAGGCTTTGCCAAATAGTTTGTTCTTTTTATATATTTGTCTTTTTATGATGTCACATTGTTTGGCTTTCTGAAGTTGGTGTGGACAGACTGACAGTGAAAGAACACACAGCCTCACTAAATCTGTCTGTACATTTTCAAGAGAAATTTGTTCAGGGCTGGTGCTGTTTTCCCGAGATACTTGCAAAGTTGCAAATTTTTCCATGACAATGTCTATAAACATTACAAGATTTTGAATGATACAAAGTATGTGACGTAGAAAGTGTCTGAGCCATTTTTTAAATTCAGATGGTTTTCTTTTTTAACTCATACAGTATCTCTGGGGTGGAATTTATTGCGACTGAATCATACCCAGAGTAATGATTGCCATTATTTTCTCATACTTTTTTACCATTATATTGACAATATTTTTGTGTCATTCATTTTATTTAAAAAAATCTGAATAAATTGTCACCAAAATATTAATTGTTGCCAAATTTACCGTATTTGTAATTATTTAAATAATTATTAATGTTTATTAAAACTGGTTTGTTTAAAAGCATTAAAATATATTGTCTGTACTCACTTAGAAAATAATAAAAATATTCATTTTCAAAAAGGGGGTGTTCTTATTCATGCTCTACACTGTGTATATAATATATATATATATATATATATATATGCAAAATGTGTTTGTTATAATTATTTTTTTTTCTATATCATTTATTATTAGTATTGGGCATGTTCCTTTTTGAAGAGTAATTAGTTATAGATAATTGTTACTTCTCAAAAAAGTTAGTTAGATTTAGTAACTGAGTTACATAAGTCTACAAATACCTAATTACACAGGAAACTAACTAATCTACATGGGAAAGGACACTAATCTACACTATTTTAATGTTGTTGTGGAAGTATGTGGGAGACGTCCATAAAATTCAACATATCATAAATATTATCGAAAACATTCTTGCCTTTCACCTCACTGATGGAAAGTAGTAGTAACGAGGGAAAGTACTGCTTATATTTCGAGTTTGCCAAAGCTAACTTTGAACTTGTTATATTTGCTATCGTTCTGACTTCTGGTCATTGGTGTGTGTGACTGGGAGTGCTTGTGAACACCCACACTGCTCTAGAGTTGTTGCGATACCATTGATTCATGTTACGATACTATGCCAGCTGAATTATTCTGATACCAAGTAGTATTGCAATACTGTAATTCATAACTCAAATCTATTAAATAAAGATAATAGTCAGAAATAGTATATTTTATGTCATAATAGGGTTACTTAAATTAAATTCGTAATTTCATTATTATTTAAAAAAGTATTTGCACATCACTTGACCTAAAATGCTTTAGTTCTTGTTTATTTTGTAAATAACTGACCAACAAAAGTACTTTAAAATAAAGATATAAATTATACAGAATGAAATTTGTTACAAAAAGAGTATTTTTCCAACAAAATTAGGCTATATATATAGTAATCAAAAAGTGTTTCAATGTTTTCTGTTGGTGTTTGAGTTTTTCATTCATTGTTTTTTTTTTTTTGTCTTATCAGGTAAGAATCCAAAGTCATTCAAAATTTCACTTTTTTTAAGTTATTCTTGTTAAGAGAATTTTCAGTTGTTGAAGATACTAAATCATATTGACAAAAACAGAATTTAACTGATTCAGATGTGCGTTTTGACTGAACCATCAAAACATGTGCAATAGGCTACCATGAAAGATGTGAATGGTACAGTTTTGCAACTGTAAAAGTGCTTTACAGACTATTCAAATAAAATTTTATTTTTTATACATTTTCACATGCAACATTTTGTATTGTAGATAGACTGTTAATTACGATACTACTGTTTACAAACTACAGCGGCACCGCCAATATTTTGGAGCCATAGTATCATGATACTACCATAGTACCGGTAAACCGTGCAACCCTACACTACTCAGCCTCTGATTGGCAAATGAAGGAAATGTAGTCTATCTAAGCCAGTCATCATGTTCTCAGTTACACCATATTCACAATCATTACAGGTTGGTTATGTGACCCGCTTCATCCCTCAACACGATCACACACCCCAGAGAAAGAGAGGTCCTACTGTAAAGCAGAGAGACGCTGCTTGCAAGAAAACCGATTCAGTGTTGTCAATTATAGTAATTCGCATTTTATATTCAGTAACGACAAAGGCGTTGTAACAGTGGAAACTGTCATTCATTTGATTACTCATTACTGAAAAAAAGTATGGCCATTAGTAATGTAGTTTATTTATAGCGGCTGTTATTCCATTACTGTTTATTATATATACTTTTTGGACAGTTCTTGACAGACTTTTTCCTGTTGGTTTATTTGTTGCAGGTAACAGTGCTGCCTTTGCTGTAATACTCCGAACAACTGAGAAATCTGTGTGGGCAAATGAATTTGAGTGTAAGTCTTATATGCCACTCTTTTATTCCATTTCTTAATTAATATATGCATAAATTGATCAGCTGTCTTGTATCTTTAAAGCAATCGAACTGACCTGCTTGATAGAGTCCATTTCTACAAACAATCCTCGAATTGAATGGAAGAAAATAAAAAACGGTGTACCCAGTTATGTGTACTTTCAAAACAAAATATCAGGTAACATTCTTTCCCTCAGCAGACAACATCATTACGTTGATTACTAGTGCTTAAGTTAAAGTGCTTTATGTTCTCAGGTGACCTGGAGCACAGGGCTTTGCTGCGAGAGCCTGCAAACCTTCTGATACTGAACGCCAGCAGATCAGACACAGCACAGTATCGCTGCGAGGTGGCCGCCATTGATGACCAGAAGCCTTTTGACGAAATATTAATCAGTCTAGCTGTAAGAGGTACTGATGAAATACTGTCTCTTGGGTTTAAAAGGTTATTCCACTAAACATGAAAAATTGCACATTATTTACTCAGGATTTGTTTACCTTCCTTTGAATCAGTGAGCTGTTTACTCTAAACTCAATCTGAACGATCATTTGTACCCATGAGTTGTTTGTGGGAGACTCACTCTGAATAGACAGTTTGATTTAGTGAGTTGTTTACTGAAGACTACTTCTGAACGGTTCATTTAAATCAGTGATTTGTTTTACAGGAAACTTATTCTGAATGGATCCTTAGAAGTTGTATACTTGAGACTCACTCTGAATAGATCATTTGAATCAGTGATTTGTTTACTGCAGACTCCTGAACAGATCATTAGAATCAGTGATTTGTTTACAGGAGACTCACTCTGAATGGATCCTTTGAATCAGTGAGTTGTTTACTGTAATCTCACTCTGAACGGATTATTTGAATCAATGAGTTGTTTATGGGAGACTCACTCTGAATAGAAAGTTTGATTCAGTGAGTTGTTTACTGCTCTCCTTCCGAACGGTTCATTTAAATTAGTGATTTGTTTACAGGAAACTTATTCTGAATGGATCCTTAGAATCAGTGTGTTGTATACTTGTGAATCACTCTGAACAGGGGCCTGTTTTAGCAAGGAGGTTCAAACAACTCTGGGTTTAAACTTGAACTCTGATTTGATTTACCGAGAGATTAAACACTCAGAGTTTTCGGTTTCAGAATAGCGGATCTGAGTTAGGTCAATCAACTTTGAGTAGACCAACTCAAGAGTTAAGCGTGCACACAGTGACTATAAAAAGGCATTATCAATGGAGCGCAGATATTACAAGTTAAGCAGGTCGCACACCAGAAGCGCTGCGCAGCGCCATGCAATTTAGAATTCTAAACATAGGTTTCTATCAGGATACACACACCGGCGCCATAAGTCGGCGGCGCCCGGCCACGGCTCAGGACGCAGTTCATTTTTCAGCCGTGCCACAGAGCGCCATCTGATTAGTTTCATGTTAAATCTCATTCGAATGTGCGCGTCTGGTGTGCAATACTTTAAACTGTCATGTGAGCGCCGTGTTGCGGCGCCGAGCAGAGCTTCTGGTGTGCGACCTGCTTGACAATGGCAACATCTTAAAAAAAGAGATCACCATTTCTTTCTCCAGCTGAACTTGATGTGATCATGCAACATTATAGCAAATATGAGTGTATATATTTAAAAAGAAGCAACCATCAGTGAAAAAGAGACAGTTAGCCTGGGAAAACAGCTGCTCAAGTTAATGCGTAATTTTACATTTAAAATATTTAAATATTCAAGTATAATAAAATAAGTAATGTAATGAGTGTTGTTTATACATTTTTTCTAAACTTTTATACACATTTATCAGTTTTAATAGATTTAACAGTGCACTTGTGTGTCTGCCTTTTTTTATTGATCAAGTGATAGAGTTTGATACAACATTTAGAAGGTAAGCGGTACTAAAAATAATTTTTAGAAAGAATAATAATCCCATTAATCTAGTTACAGTACATGTCGAAGCTCAGTGAATTTAAGCTAATTATTTATTGTTCTTTGTGTGACTAAAAGATTGGCAATATCTATGTTTCCATCCAAATATATTACATAAATTTATGTGCAATACTGGAATATTGTATAAAAGATGCGAATAAAGCAGCGTTCCCATCCAACGAGTCAAAAGAACAAAATCGTCACTTCCTGATTAACTGGCGCCAAATATCAACAGTAAAAACAGAATTTACTGCGGTAGAAGAAGCTGCGTCACTTATTTCTTTATTTAATAAATGTACTTGCGCCTCAGAAGACAATGCTGACACACAATGAACACGTGGGGGCGTTTGAAGCCATGAGACGCGGAGACTCTTGACACGCTCCAGACGCTCGGAGGTAATTATATACACTAATAATCAAACAGTCAAGGCATTTTAAAATGACTAAAACAACATTTAAGACATGTTACAGTGTCCTCAGCCTGCTGGTTTGTCCATTCACACACATTTTCATCATCATATGATGACCTTTTTTTAATGTACATACTGTAATTTGTTCAGTAAAAGTTATTCCATCGTAGTTTATAAGCATATTTTCTATCAAATAAAAGTTTATCCTACTCAATTATGCTTGTGTTTTTTATGCATATTTTTAAAAGTTATGTGCATCATGATGTTTCTATCATTCGTTTTTATGCACATATCCAAAATGAGCTTTAAAATCGGTGGGTGGAAACGTAAGGCTAAGGCGAGAAATACCACTTTGTCTTTAAAAAAAGGGGAGGAGACCAACAGAAACTCTGAGTTTAAAGAATAAAACATGCTCCCGACCAGGTTAGGTTCACCGAGTAAGTTACCACAGTAACTGCCTCTGAGTTAAATTTACCTCTCTTTTAGAAACAGGCTTGACTTACCCTGCTTTCTCGAGTTCAACAAACCTGCCATTTTGAAAGGGAAACCCAGAGTTTCTCTCATTTCAGGGTTAAAACACTCTGAGTTTTTACTTAACCTCCTTTTTGAAACAAGCACCCGATCATTTAATTCAGTGATTTGTTTACAGGAGACTTGCTCAAAATGGATAATTTGATTCAAGGAGTTGTTTACTGGAGACTCCTGGACAGATCATTAGAATCAGTGAATTGTTTAAAGGTGATTCACTCTGAATGGATCCTTTGAATCCGTGAGTTGCATACTGTAGACTCACTCTGAACGCATCATTTGAACCAATGAGTTGCTTATGGGAGACTAACTCTGAATAGTTTGATTTTGTGAGTTGTTTACTGGACACTACTTTCGAACGGTTCATTTAAATCAGTGATTTTTTTACAGGAAACTTATTCTGAATGGATACTTAGAATCAGTGAGTTGTATAGTTGAGACTCACCCTGAACAGATCATTTGAATCAGTGATTTGTTTACAGGAGACTCATTCTAAATGGACAGTTTGATTGACTGATTTGTTTACTGGAGACTCCTGAACGAAACATTAGAATCAGTGATTTGTTTACAGGAGACTCACTCTGAATGGATCCTTTGAATCAGTGGGTTGTTTACTAGAGACTCCTGAATAGATAATTAGAATCAGTGTTTTGTTTACAGGAAACTCACTCTAAATGGATCCTTTGAATTAGTGAGTTGTTTTCTGTAAACTCACTCTGGACAGATCATTTAAATCAATGAGTTGTGTACTGGAGACTCCTTCTGAATAGATCATTTGAATCAGTGAGTTGTTTACTGGTGACTCACTCTGAATGGATCCTTTGAATCAGTAAGTTGTTTACTGTTCAATTCAATTCAAATCAGCTTTATTTGTATAGCGCTTTTACAATGTAGATTGTGTTAAAGCAGCTTCACATAAATGGTCATAGTTACTGGATCAGGGTAGTTCAGTTTTTAGTGTTTAAGTTCAGTTCAGTTTAGCTCAGTTCAGTGTGGTTTGAAGTCATTATTGAGAGTCCAAACACTGAAGAGCAAATTCATCGATGAGTAGCTTTTCAGATCCTGAACCATGCAAGCCAGTGGCGACAACGGAGAGGAAAAAAAAATTAACCAATAGGAGAGTGAAAAAAAAAACCTTGAGAGAACCAGACTTAGTTGGGCATATTCATTTTAATTTCTCCACTGGCCAAAAGTCTTGTGCAGAGCTGCAGTCTCAGCAGTGGAGGCTGGAAGCTGGCCTCAGGGAAGACTCGTCTGTCCCTGAAACGTCACTGGAATCGGTCTCATACTCTCCATTCCCCCATAACCAACAGCGCAGCAGCAGCTCAGGATACGGCCTGGTCCCGGATTTGGACACCTTGGGATCATCTCGTCGCTGGTCTTGGGTCCAATCAGTGACTCTGCATAATCTGAGCACCTCGGGATGAGTATCCTCAGGTGGAAATGGAGAATAAAGAGAATAATTTGCGTAGATGCTGTTCATAGTGTATATAAATAAGATGTACAAACTTGTGTGGAAACCCGCTAAGTGATGCATTGAGTGTATGCTTTACTAAACAGATAGGTCTTTAATCTAGTTTTGAACTGAGAGAGTGTGTCTGAGCCTCAGACATTATCAGGAAGGCTATAGAGTTTATTAGCCATAAAGGAGAAGGCTCTACCTCCCTTACTTGACTTTGCTATTCTAGGTACTACCAGAAGCCCTGAGTTTTGAGATCTTAAAGAGCGAGCTGGATTGTAGCGAGACAGAAGGTTGGTTAGATGAACAGGAGCTAGATTAATTAGAGCTTTATAGGTGAGAAGTAATATTTTAAATTCAATACAAAACTTAACAGGCTGCCAGTGTAGGGAGGATAAAATTAGGGTGATATGATCATATTTTCTAGACCTGGTAACTTTACTGTGAACTCACTCTGAACAGATCATTTGAACCAATGAGTTGTTTATTAAAGACTCACTCTGAATAGTTTGATTCAGTGAGTTGTTTACTGGACACTACTTCCGAACAGATTATTTGAATCAGTGGTTTGTTTACAGGAAACCTATTCTGAATAGATCCTTAGAATCAGTGAGTTGTATACTTGAGACTCACTCTGAACAGATCATTTGAATCAGTGGTTTGTTTACAGGAAACCTATTCTGAATGAATCCTTTGAATCAGTGAGTTGTTAACTGGAAAATCCCTCTGAATGCATCACTTGGATCAGTGTGTTGTTGACTAATAAAAAGAAGTCAGTCCAACTCACTAATAATCGTTCAGTGCCATGTGTGAGCCAATTTAACAGGTTAACTGATCAAATTCAGCTTGTTCACAAACTAAACACCATTATCTCATCACTCCACTCCAATTCAAGCTGAGGGAAACAATCTGTGTTAAGGCACCTCTGCTCTGTTATTATTTCATCATGCATTGGACCATCCAGTAACAAGCTGTGTGTGTGAGACAGGGCTTGAGATAACAAATCATCAGAAAGAATTTCTATTGTTACTCTGAATTGTGTATTTGCACTGAATTGTGTATTTGCACTGTGGCAATTTGATCAGATTTAATACTCAT